TGTGCGTGATTAGAAATTCACTTCCCTGCATATCGAGTTGTGTTATCATAAATTCCAAAAATAAAAATTACTGTAAATGGAAGATTTGATGAACTATACAATATTTAATTTTCATTAACCGACGGCGCTGTACCGTTCTTACAACTGATAGGGGCGAGGACAATCACCCTTTTTGATAATACACTTTGGGGATAAGTGTATATATGTATAACTTGATATTTAAATGACTAGATTGTTAAAATTGTCTATCAAATCGTTATGATAGTGCATCCAAACGCAGTTTACAACAAACGAAAAGGTAGATGCCATTTTTCTTATTTTGTATATAAAACAGGTGACTTGCAGAAAGTATTACAAAAATATGCAGATCTAGGCGCCGCATCGCCCCCTCTCACTTTAAGTAAATACAAATTGAAGAGCCTTCTTCTTCAGGTGAAATAAAACCCACCTTCACCTTCACCTTCACGGCGTTCATTACAAAAGAAATTCGGATTTTATTAATCTTTTTCTTTTCTTTCCGTTTTTTCTTAATTTGTGTTTCTTTGCTCACACATCATTCCCTTCCAAAGATACTTAGCTTTTCTCAACTGTAAAGGGGAGGGGCCATCGCCTAAAATCGAGATTGCTGGAATGCGAACCAAATAATATAAATGTATATAGAATTGTAAAAGAATTCCTTTGTATATTAGACGTAGATTTAGCCCCGTTTGGAATGAAACTCTTCATTTTGATGAAGTGACACGTGAATCTATAGCAAAAAGCTGATTGAAACGCCTGCGAAGAGGAAAACAAATCTCTCTCTCTTCCTCTCACTCTCTCTCTCTTTCTTTTTTTTCTCTCTCTCTCTCTCTCTCTCTCTTGGTTTTTTATATTTATTTTGTAATCAAATTGACAAATTGTGCTTGGCCATTGCCTAACTTCCTATCGAAAGTGAGCCTTTTTGTTGGATTGTGTTGGAAATGTTAATGCACAATCACGCATTATAAACAATTTACAGTGCGTAAAGTAAATTGCAAACAATAACAAATAAATGAACAGTTTGTTCATTCCATATGCAACCTATTAATTGACAGAGATCCGCCATGACCATCATCTATACGAATTTGGTTTGCTTGTGAAAGGTTCCCTCGTATGCCCATATCCCATAGAAACCCATGTTGACTTTTATGGCAGATTTAATCCCTTAAAGGGAGAAATAACTGGAAAAAAGAGGGGTGTGAGAATGGGAATTATTTTTTTTAGGACGCTATGTGATTTCAATGTGTGACTGACATAAGAGAATAAATCGTTTTGCAGGATATTCAATGTACCGTGCCCGGGGCATTATCATCCATTGAAATCATTTTTTTTCTCCATTTATTACTGTGTAAAGGTCATCACTCATTCTGATGAGCTAAACCATTGTAAATAGCAGTGATTTTTGTTTAGTGAGAAAAAGCTGTTTGTCTATAACAGGTTTTAATAAATTACAAAAAAAAACACCATTAAGTTTAGACGGATATGTAATTTTGCCAAATAAAAGCAGCCTTGTGTCTGAATGTAACGATCTCGAACCTATTATCGAGATTACGGCTCAATTATTTAACCCTGCATTCGGGTCAAATGAATTTAACCTGGTACATGGATTAAAATTTTGACCCCAAACGTGACTAAAGTTGGGCTAAATTATGGATTGTCTTGGTTGAATATTGACCCACTAATCTATTTTGACGTTATGATGAATTCTGCCTTGATAAATACCCAACTTCATGTTTTGATCAATTTTTAGAACATCTGCACGTCTTTGACTCGTACTTCTTGCAAAGATACGATTTTTGAAGAAGATTAAATAGCCCTGTGGCTTGATAGGGTATCACTTTTGCAGTGTGTGAAAGTTCGTTGCACTTTTTGTCAAAAAAGAAAAGAAAAAGAAAGAATCTTCCCCTTTTCAACCTCATTTCCATTGAGTTTGCTATAAATGGAGCATAGCGGGAATCCAATAGATCTACAGCGCGCAGTGCTTTGAACCTTGCACTGAAAGGCAATGCAAAATATGCAGCTATGATCATGAATAGATGGATGAATCACTTATAAAATAGATTTGAACCAGAAAATAGGTTTTAACCTTTCAAAAATTCACCCTACATCATTTAGCCTTGTCCATCATTTTTGGAAGCGTTCGAACATTCCAATGAGATATTATGTAATCAGCACATGATTTTGTATAGTTATCCATTTAATTATTTATTTATTGAACGTTTTTATTCGGGATTAAAAATAATCAGCACAGGTTCATTGATTTATAAAAAATGAGCTTCATTTGATTGGACTAGGTTATTAAAATTCAATGCTTGGTAACATTCATAGCTCCTGAAGAACTCTCCGAACGCTGCTGAGATATGTGACGTACGTCACATGTTGAACATGATTTGCATTGTAAGCAGACGATGTCTCATGACATCTCACACTTTTTCAGTGCCTGTTTTGTCATCTTCTCTTCAGTTATTTCTCTTACTCTACTACCGCAGGCTAAATGTCTAATCTATTGCCTCACTCTAAACCCCACACATGGTATTATATTGATGAAAAATGCAGCGATAAAAAAAAATAAAGGAATCCGTCGCTTGTAAACAAAATAAGACGCCATTGTATTTTCAGCTTCATACACCGCGGTATATGTTCGGCGTTTCAAGAGGGAACAAATGCCGCCCATGCTATCATTCCGGGGGTTTTTCAATTTGAAAGTGTGGTTCGACTGTTTATAAACCCCTATCATGTGTATTTACAAACACAATAATTTGGTTGTCAGAATCAGTTTCATATCCCTTTTTGAATAGTGTAAAATGCCATCACATTTTTATACACTAAACTCATTATAATTTTTAGAAATGATAGCATTGTAATCATGTTCATTCTTTATGAGATGTCCTCTGCTTGGGAAGGATTGGTTTATACCCCTATGACGTCATTAAAATATCTTTCTTTTTCTTCTGGCGAATCTCTCGTATATGCCTGATGCAATGGAGGTGATTTTAGTTGTATTTTTTATAGATCACCCGATATGTAGTTGACCTAAAACTTGTACGATGGCCGAAATTTGTTAGCTTACCAGTTTCTAGTGATATACGTTAATTGCCATATTTTGTGATTTTTCTTTGAACGGGCACTTTAAGGAAAATAAAAAGTAGAGCAAAACACCGATTAATTCGAATGGCTGGATGACAATGCCCCGGGCTAGGTGCATTGAATACGGTGTCAAAAGATTCGTTCTCTCTTGTCATACAAGATCATCCCTTTGACCGCCCAAAATGGAATCTTTTTCTCTCTTCGCCTTAATGCCATTAAATCTACCATAAAATGACGTAGGAGTGGTGGATTATTTGTTCATTTGGTCTCCTGATGATAATGATATTTCGTCAACACCCCAGAGCCTCATTGGTTTTTCATATTCATTGCAGACAAAAACATTTGTATAGGCCTGCAATTATAGTTGATATATGATTGGTTGCACACTGGGTCAGTTATTATATTTGTCTCATTACATGCTCTACCGCATAAGTGCTTAATCCGGCACCATCCCGGAAAGTGCAACTATTTCGAAAGTTCAGCAAATAAACACTCCCCCAAAAAACACAAATTAGGCTAAATATCTTCTTTAGTATGTTCTATAAAAACAGTGGTTTTAGAGCTAAAGCTATGAGAGCCATCATATTTTATTAAGCCCAAATGGTTGGTTGGTCACTGATTCTTTTCATGAGAGATTAAGAATCGCATTTGGTTCCTTTGGCAGAATGTATTTCGTATACAATTTAAATTGTTGATAACTGGACCTGGGTTTTTTCCAGAGTAGACATCAATGATTCTCCAATATGATTCTGCTGAAGACACAACACCTCATAAGTACAATGATTTGCTAATATAAGATCAGTACTCTAAATATTATTAATATCACAAATAGTTTAGTTCACATATTAGCGTATGCTCTATTGTGATTAAATCTATGGTGACAAGTACTCCTTATCCCAAATTATCTTAGAGGATTTTTTCGGGATAGTCAACATTCCATCGGCTTTCCGCAATAATGAATTTTGTATAGATTGAACATTTATGAAGAAATATAATCTTGTTTCAAACAGAACTGCCGAGGGCTTCAAGATTAGCTTGATTTCTTGTGAGCCCTGAAAATTGAGTACAAGCAAAACAAGACATGATTCCTGGTGATGCAAAGGTACAACAAAAAGTAGAGAAATCGAGAGAGAGAGAGAGAGAGAGAGAGAGAGAAAGAAAGAGAGAGGGGAGAGACAGAGACAGAGAGAGAGAGAAAGAGGAAGAGAGAGAGAGAGAGAGAGAAAGAGAGAGAGAGAGAGAGAGAGAGAGATAGAAATAGAGGAGGGAGTGTAGTGAGGATGAGTTAACAGACGATTGTACATGTCGGTGCTAAGCAGATATAAGCATTTATGAATCATCAGTATTTTGAAGCAACAACATTCTTTTCACGGCTGCTTTAATTGCATACTCTGATTGAATATTCATTTGATCCGAAGGAATATAATTCCATTATGTCAGGGCCACTATATATTATTGCGGGCAGCCAATCGTCGTCGCTTTATGATTTAACCCTTCCAGGCCAGCTCTCCCACCTTATCCTCCTCCTTCCTCCCCGAGTAAACGATGCGTGCTATGCCACTTAGTTAAGCTATAAAGCAGCTTTAAAGTCAAACTTGAACCTCACAATATAAAAAAGATCGTTAAAACTTTTGAGAAATCAGTACCCCATGGATGTATTAGGCCAATGTTGTGTTTCGCACTTGCCAGCAGATGCATGACAGAGCCATTGGAATATCAGCCTTTGCTAACGTGTATTTAATGGTTTGTTCTTCTTCTCTATTCTTCTTTTTTCTTTTCTTTTCTTTCAATTTTCAATATGCATTTTCTTGTGTAGGCTTGGGAAGTCTCAACAGAGTAGGCGCTGTTACGAACGAACTGACTCTGGCTCATCCTAATACTCGATCATCGGGAAAATGAAGGCCGTGATTGCATTCGAACGACTGGTTGCATTGGTATTTGCTTGCTTGGAAAACCTAATACATGGCGCCGTCATCTTTGGCTGGCCCTCACTCGTCTTTGTCTACCTACAGCTTGGCTATTTCCACGACCTGTGTAGCGACAGCAGCGAAAATGCTACATCACCCGTGATTGTAAGAGTCATAAACATATCAATTCCTTTCATTACATGTTTTTAAACATAAGTTGGTTTTTGGAGGGGGTGCAATATCACAATGATAAAACAGTTCGTAGTTATCACATGGAACACATCCACCTATCTTTAAAACATGATGAAGTTTTAAACATGTTGGGCATTTTGAAATAATCACTGATAAATCCATGGTTATCCTTCAAGAATACATTCTGTTTGCCCTCGAGAGAAGAATACTCCACCTGTGTATCATAGGATGTACTATCGCATCGGTGCGAATTCAAAATGATTAGTTACCTTTTATGAGAACGTATCCATTATTCGTCTCGGTTTTTTCTTCAAAAAACACATCTGAAAACGTATAATTCCTAATCGTATTCTCTGGGAAAGGCGTGGTTCGTTGGCTTTTAACCTAAGGGTTGCGGGTTCCAATCCCAGCCAGCAATAACGTCCTTTAGCAAGGCATTAATTTGTATTTGCTGTCTCCACCCAGGTCTAAATAGGGTAATAATAATAACAAGGTCCCCAGGAGGAACGGCTTCGACGCTGATGAGGATCCTTTTTTATAAATGATATTATATGATATACCATTCTAGTAAAAAAAAATGCCTCATCTTTCTAGCTCACTACCACCACCACTGCTCATAACCTCACCATGGTAGAAGGTCTCGAGTCGTGTCCAGAACAGGAAAGTCGTCTTCAGCTAGTCTTCTCTATCGCTGTAGCTTTACAGGCAACATGCATGTTCCCTGTTGGGTTCTTATTCGATCGGTTTGGTACCAGATTTTCTCGGCTGGTCATGAGGTAGGTTTCTATGGCAATCATGTCCAACCCAATCCATTGCAAAGCAATCCAAACCAATCCAATCTAATCCAATCCTATCCGATCCAATGCAATCCAATCCTACCCCATCTAATCATTTCCAATCCAATCCAATCCTACCCCATCTAATCATTTCCAATCCAATCCAATACTACCCCATCTAATCATTTCCAATCCAATCCAATCCTACCCCACCTAATCATTTCCAATCCAATCCAATACTACCCCATCTAATCATTTCCAATCCAATCCAATCCTACCCCATCTAATCATTTCCAATCCAATCCAATACTACCCCATCTAATCATTTCCAATCCAATCCAATCCTACCCCATCTAATCATCTCCAATCCAATCCAATCCAACCCCATCTAATCATTTCCAATCCAATCCAATCCTACCCCATCTAATCATCTCCAATCCAATCCAATCCAACCCCATCTAATCATTTCCAATCCAATCCAATCCTACCCCATCTAATCATTTCTAATCTAATCCAATCCAATTTTCTGAACTCTATTCTAAGACTTATCTAATGTAATTTCGATCCAAGAACCATTCCATTCAATTCAGTCCACTCGCATTCTATCGACAATGCATCACGTTAATATAGTTGTACATATTTCTCCACCTGGATGTGCCACTTGGATAAATACAGATGACTTAAATAGACAAAGTGAGCCGGTATTCCCCTTAAGCCTTGTTCATATATGCAGAGTATTTTTTACGCTTTACATTTCCTCTCTTTTAACATTCTTTTTTCTTGAGTTCAGTGATCAAGTACATGTATAGTACGTTTGCGGCAAATGAAATTCATTTACGTGTTTTTCTTCTCACGTGGTATCTAATTTAGACTTTAGTTTTTTAGAGTTTAGGAGTTGCTTGCTTGATATTTTGTCTAGGAGATCCAAATAATGAGACTAAGAGTTTCTTGAACTCATCTTGAATAATGTACAATCTCTGTGCTTAAGCAAATTCTATGGGAATTTAAAGGAATGTCTTGAACTGTGTTTCTGGTTGGGAGGTATGCTAGCTACATGGTTCCACATCTTGTCTGATTGACACTATAGTCTATTTGGGAAAATGAGTATGGTAAAACTGGTCACTCAATTTTTTAAAACTTTTTTGAGGGACTTCATGATAACTCTGAAGCGCTTTTTTTGGTGGCTTTAATATTACACCATATCACAGACACTGATAACACGTAGGACCGTGCATCTCAGATTTAACAATGTTAAACGATGCCGCCTTTAAAGCTCGACCATCAGTGTATTAAAATACTTGTTTTTGTACTTGACAAACTTTATCGATGAAAACAAAAGCAACCGCTTTACAGCCCCTATCATGGTTTTCTTTCGTACCAACAGTATCCTCCTGTTGGTTGGTTACGTATTAATGGCGTTAAGTTCTCCAACGTACCCTATTCTGGTGTTTCCCGGAACCATCTGTTTTACCATTGGAGGAGTCATCATGCTCTTCTCTTCCATGCAGGTCAGTAATATCAGAGATATATCGAGGTTGAGTACAAACAGGCCCACATCCATGACCGTAAAAAACCTTAACTACACGTTTCTCAATCAGTTTTAGTTTCTGAAGCAAATTTTGTGTATTTGTTACGTGGTATGTGACAAGAGGCAAAATATTTCATCATCCATCAAATTGGCAGCGAAGGGAAAATAAAGAATAAAGTAAATGAATTAATAAATAAATGAATAATTAAATAAACGAATAATGAATAGAACAGAAACTAAATAAATGAATAGATAAATAAATACGAATGAAATAGCCTTCATCGAAACACATTTCGAGTCACTTTGGTGCTGTTAGTAGTCCCATTTCTAATCTTAACCACAATACCAGTTCTTACTCATTGTCATTTCGTATTTAAATCCAAATCCAAATCTTGTTCCACTTATATATTTTTTTTTTACAGATCGGGAATCTGTTCGGAGGAAAAAAGTCGACAGTTATTACGATTATCAACTCTATGTACGGAGCAGCCGTCATCATGCTCGTAATTGCGAAGGTAAAATTAATTAAAATATCATGTTTTAAGTTTCTCGTGCAATCACTTTCACTATTAAATGTTAACACTCATTTGTAAAAAGATCAAATCAAAGGGGCCTGTTACAACATACCTATAAATAATATTTGATATTTAGGGCAGCAAATTATTTATAAAAAAGATTTATACCTATCAGAGACCACGAATTCGCCTATACAAACTTGAGTTAGATGCAAATATCCAAGGGTCAAGAAACAAAAACAACAATTGCATTGAATTTTGTTTTACTTTATTGGTAGTTCCTGTTTTAATGTTTCGGAGAAGAAATATTTGATCTATAGTCACGTTCCAAATAGTTGAATTTGAATGGCATTTTTTTTAAATCTTAGGACAACCCTGTAAATGTTAACTAGATACGATCGCGACTACTTTCGAAAAATCAACCTTTGTCAACTTCAGGGGCCCTGAGCGTCACGCCACCAACAAGACACTGATGTATTACGTCATTCGAGCATGATTTCTAATCGGATATACAAGGGATATTGAAAATGTCCTAGAGATGATTTTTCGAAAATAGTTGCAATCATGGTACAAGTAGCTCAGCACTTGGAATAGTATTAGTAGTGTTAAAAATATGCTTAATCAAAGTAGATCTCGTCTTATCCTCCACACAGAGGGTGCATGACTCCGGATTTTCAATCAACATGTTCTTTTTCATCATGGCCGCGTCGGTAATCCCTCTAAACATCAACACGTTCCTCCTCTTGCCCACCAAGTACATCCCGTGGCCCCTACCTGAGGGGTACAAACTCGTTAACTTTTGCACCCCTAGGACTCCTTCAGGAGCGAAGGAAGAACAAGAGAGTGCATCCTACAACAGAGGTTACGTAGGGGACCTTGACTCCGATATGACAGGTGTCGATGGGCACTACAGACAAAAAGGAGTTGAGTCGATCAGCAGGGACCTTGACAGAGAGGCGGTAGTTTCTCGAATAGAGACAAGCAAAGACATATCCGAATATGGTATCTCTGAAGTCGAAGAGCGCAAAAATAAAGAGTATGGAAGCCTCGGTGCGTGTATCCTTTCGACGCCATTTTTTATGTTGCTTCTCTGGCAGGCGTTCCTTGAGATCGACTTGACCTTCACTATCGGTACCCTGACCTTCTTCTTGACAAGATTGTCCGATGGCGATGAAGATTTAGGTAGGAATCAACTTGAACGTAAAGAAGTTTTCAAAAGGAATTCAAGTTTTTGATTTATTTCAAAGTTACTTGTTAGACATTATAATAGCCACCCTGACACCCCATTGCACGCAGAATGAATGGTTTACGGAACGGTACACACTTTGGCATCCCATTGCGTGACAATGGTGGAAGTGGTCACGAAATGGTGTTTGGGTGCGATGTAGATGAAAAAGTGCGTTCGAGAAATTTTGAACTTTTCAAAAGTTAATCACAACTTAATTTAATAGAAATTTTCGTGAACAGTTCATGAACTATTGCAACTATTTCGTAGCAGAGTGTGACAGTGCGTGCCGTTTTACAGTGATGAACGTTGCAAAAATTGTAAAACGACAGGGGTTGGCAACCGCAGTAGAGGACTAGAATAATTCATACAGGTGTTGTAGTGGCATTGTAACCAGTTATGTCAAAGTTACGGCAAACAGACAATGCGCTAATATATTGCATTATATTGGCAATTTTGAAAGGCAGGTAAACAGGCAGGTATATGTATATGAAGGTGGACGGCAGTGGTAGTAGTGATGATCGTGATGGTACAAGACTATCAGCCACATATCATAATCGTTTCCACTATAACTTTTTTTCTCCATTAGTGAGTTGGTACACAGATATTTTCTCCATCACTCGATTCTTTGTCCTCATCGTTGGTCCTCTTGGTGGTCTACTCATGGACAGGAACAAGCTCTCAACCTCCTGCTCATTAACCAGTGAGTACCATGAACATTCGGTGCAGGTCAAAATGTCAGTATGACTGTACTACTTGTAGCTACTTAATTGCTCCCTCTATATAGAAAACAATGCCTAATCGGTGACCATTGGTCCCTAATGATCCTCTTTTTTATGTTAATTGACAGCTGAGTTGATGAGATAGCCGCCTGTCACCGACCACCCTGGGTGGTCTAATCCCTCCTAGATACACTAAAAATATCAGAGATACAAAATATTTGTCCATTTTACACCTGACAATTTTGTTTTGCTTCTCTATTATTTTACCTCTGACAAGATACTTAGCCAAACTTGTTGTATATTCAATTGTGTGCCGTTTGAGGGCTGTTCCTACATACAGGGCAGTGGTAACAATTGATGCAACTTTATGGTATATTGGTTTATTAATTTGACTCTCAATTCAAGATTGCTGGTTCGAATCCCAGCCCGGCAATAACGTCCATTAATCAACAATTGTCACTCTCGACCAAGGTGCAGATGGGTACCTGAAATTTGCTGGGGTAATGATAATCTAACGACCCTGAGGAAGAACGGCGCTAATGCAGTTGAGGATTTCCTGTGTAAAGGAAATATTTGTTATTATTATCATAACTCAATTCTCAATTCTCAATTCTTTTTATTCATCCAAATTCACAGGAATACATGGGAATTTGTTTTGGTCACACATTGTAAAAATACGTAAGATATATATATATATAAAAAAAACTATATCGTTGTGTTCATACTAACAGAAGAACCATCAAAATAAAAGATAGACAACATAGCAGTATTCTTATTACTACACATTGAATTTGATGAAAAGGATAGAACATCAGTGTGAAGGAAGGAAGGAAAATCCGGCCACCGAACCTACCCATTACTTCTTCTATTATTATTATTATATCATAGTCCCAAAATGATTGCATATCCTCTACGTTTTTAAGAAATATTGTTGTCGCTATTGACACAGGGATTGGCGCTGTAAATGTGAAGGTTTAAGACTAAATTTTGACTTCAGCGTGAAATCTTCATATTACTGGTGAAGCGTGCACAATTAATTAATATGAATCTGAGACTGATATATTGATAACCAATGAAGGAAAATAAAAGAAATATCAATTTAAGTACAGAAATGAGGGTCATCGAAGATTTGGGGATTGGGGTCTTGGAGTTAGACTGAAACTGTTATTTTGAGGTAAATTCATAGGATAATGAGAATCTCTTTGTTCTTTCATGTTGGACATTAGTAACATAATTGGAATTTCATATTTGTTTCATGTTGGACATTAGTAAATTAATTGGCATTTCATATTTGTTTCGTGTATGGTTCATATTTAGAGCAACCACAAAAGAGAGGTCCATATGCAGACGTGAGAGATAGCTGTCTACCTCTGGCGATCACTACTTTCGCTTCAATCGGCTACACCATTTGTCTTCTGATTCCAAACCTTCAACTCCAGTATCTAAGTTTTATCCTTATCCTCATTGTGGGATCTCTGCTCTTCGGCGTCGGTTCTGCAGTCGTTGCCGTCGTGTAAGTCACGGTCTTACAACCTAAGAAATAGGGGCTCAATTTGTGCACCATAAAGAGTACCCTTATTAGCACTAGGGTGATGGTGTCGTGGAATTTTAGTTGTTCGTACACTTGACTCTTAATCCAAGGGTTGAGGGTTCGACTCTCAGCCCGGCACTAGAACGACCTTTGGCAAGACATTGATCCACATTAATTTTGCCACTCACCTTCCATGTGTATGTTGGTACCTTGTAATTGATGGGGAAATAATGCTAATAAGGCTTTCCTGGATATATTACGACTACGCATATCTATGGAATATTAAGCGTTTTAAGGTTCAATCCTTTCGCTCTGCATGTTATATAATGTTTTGATTTGATGTTTTTTGGATGAAAGTTTGAAATCATGTCTTCTTTTTTTAAGTTCATGTATTTGTATATTTCGTGATTGCAAATTAGTTTCATTCGTTGATAAACGCTGAAGGGGGAGAGGAATGCTAATTATTGTTTTCCTTTAGTTCGATCGAATTGTTTTGATTTGGGGTTCATTGTAATACGTTTAAAGCGATCATAAAATAATTCGATCAGACATAAGATAGCTTATGCCATCTTGAGATAGTCTTTAATAAATAAATGCAAGCTGTAAACAAAGATCGAACGAAATGCAGTTCTAGAAATGAGAATTACTGTAAATCTATCGCCTTTTTGTTGTAGAGTAATGACTGAACAGAAGATATCATTATCGCAGAGCCCTTTTTATTCAAATGACATTACAGGTTTCCTATGCAGTACTTTACTAGTGTATACGGTGCCATTCGAACCATCAGTGGATTCTTCACGTTTCTTCAGTACCCAATCTTCATTCTGCTCCAGAAATATCTCGATGATGATCCTTTCTGGGTGAGCAAAGAACTTCAAAATATCTGATTGGACTTCATAAAAGGCATCGTTTAACCTTGTTAAATATGACATGCATGGCTCTACGTATTATCAGTGTCTGTGATGTGGTGTAATATTGAAGCCCTAAAAAAAGAGCTTTAAAATGATAAAGAAGTGCTTCAAAAAAGTAAAATATTTGAGTGACCGGTTTTACCATACTCGTTTTCCCCAAAAGACTGTAGTGTTACGAAAACCGTTAGGAAAACACAAAATTTGATTTCGATTTCCAATCATACACATCTTGATAATCAGACAGGCGATCGGCTTGTAAAAGTCATTGGACCCATGCATGACCTAAAGGTTTATAATTATGATTGCAGGGGCGGATCTAGCTTTTTGCTAAGGGGGGGGGTTGACCAAAATAATGACGATGCGGAGCATCGTCCACGAGCCGCGAAGCGGCGAGCCGATTTTTTTTGGGGTGTTTATTTGAACCCCGTAAGTGATGTTTTCCTGGCATCTATTAACACAATGGAGACCATAAAAAGCAGTGCATGATAACGTCTTTTTAAATCAAGTAACAGTTAAATACACAGTTATATCCAGAGTTATCATGTGTTTGGTTAAGTTACCTGATGAGTTGAATATCTTCTCACAATATTTGCACTTGAAAGGGTTTCTCTCCAGCGTGCGTTCTTTTTTCTTTCTTTTTTTCTTTCTTTTTTTCTTTTTTTTTCCTTTTTTTTTTTTTGTTTTTTTTTTTGGGCCGCCCAAGGGGGGGGTTGCAACCCCCCAACCCCCCCCCTGGATCCGCCACTGGATTGCAGCATGAACTTAGTTAATCCACGATATTTTTTAGAATCTGAGGCAAACCAAATATATTGACATGATATGCCTTTATTTATATTAAAAAAAAGAAGAACATCAAGGAATTTAATCGTTGATACTTATTTCATTTGGATGATTTAAAGAATATCAAACTATGACTTGAAAATGTTGTTTCATTAGAACGAAGTCACCTACGAGAAAAGCTGGTCGAAAGGGCCGTTCATCATAACATTGGACATAAGATATGTGACTTGGGCAACACTTTTGTAATTTGTATAAATGTCAGGGTTCGAAATTTAGTTCATATGTCTCCAAGATAAATGACAACGAAATTAAAGATTATGTCCTAGACCTAAACAATTAGATATGGTTGTTGTACGTTTGTATTTACGAACGCACCCGCACTCGCTCTCGCCACCTCACGCACTAACACGCTTCTAGCATCCTACCATCATGGACCTATTACGGATGGACATTCAACGTGATTCTTTCTTTGATCCTATGATAGTCGCCGCCTTCTGATTATTTGCATCTTAATGAGAACATTCATTCTTGGTTTTTGTTTGGATGGTGTGCTCTGTAAGAGTGTGTCTTAAATAAAAGCATCCCCAATGGGGAGCAGCAAAGTTGAAAAGCAGACGATTTTGGTGATATGAAATGTATTATTACTGATTTACAAACTTTCGCACACACCTATGTCCTTATAAAACAATTAGAAGGCCATGATCTGTATCAGCCCTGTGCGTTGTAACTCTGGAATATTATGAGGAAAAAGGGAGAAACGGGATTTTAAAGCACAACCCCAAAATCCAAAAATAACCTCTATCTGGTAATATCAACATGTTTTTCAAAAAAAAAAAATACATGTATAGTACACGGAACAACAATTTCCGATTATAAGCCAGAACTGCACATCTATTTTCCATGATTTAGGCGAGTTATTATCTTCTGCGCATGTAGATTAACATGTTTAAAATCACTATCTTGAGTTGATTCTGTCCCGGCGTATTGGCGGCGACCATGATGAGATCAAAGAGAAGAAACATGTACGGAATGTTATTGAGTCGACATTGACGAAGACAATCACAATGAATTCATTAAGAAAACGATGAATGTCCGTTCGTAATAGGTCCATGCTACCATGAACAATACAAATACGCATTTCCCGACATCCGCATCCACAGCCAAACGCCCTGTGCGCGCGTGAACACACGCACACATAACGCTCGCCCACACACGCGATCGGCTAAACAGGCCGACATTGTGTAATCATATGGCCGTTCCAATATAATTCGATGTATTGAAAATACCTTCTTAATCATGTCCGTGGTGTTATAATTTTTTGTCATCCTAAATACAGGTGTTCGTTGCATTCATCGTGGCTGATGTAATAACACTGGTCTTACCTGCATTCCTCTACGTTCGTAGTAAGACAAGATCAACGGGCGATAAAGAGAACTAATTTCTTGTCCAATACCAGTGATATTCAGACAGACGTTTGCAAAGAGTACAAGTTGTTTCATTTTCTATAAAATATAAGTCATATTCATATACATATGTATATATATATATACAGGTTACATGGTTATTTTGAACATCTGAATAGTTTTTCCGAGATAATTGATTAGTGTCTTTCATGTCCCTATTGTGTTTATATTTAAAGTGAACTCAGACGTTGTGTGTCCGAACAGTTTGTGTAACCCACAGTCGATTTAAGGCGTTGATTTGAAGAAGTTTACATACAATGATTATCAATCTTTCAAGATTTATGTTAGAAAATACAATAAAAGACAAATATTCATGATGGTTAGTAATATTTGATGCATACTTGTCGTTAAATACTGAGGCAAAAGTTAGGGTTTATTTTTGTTGAGCGTCCATACACACAACCCCCTTATATAATATCAAACAATATTACCCGAAATGAATACTTGAAAATAATCTATACTTCTTGGGCCCGTACTAAAAAGCTGAGCGATTGATAGTATAATGGGTTCTTGCTACTGAATGCACGTAGTGATCAATGCAATCAATCGAAAGAAGAAACAAATCATGCGACCAAATACAATAAAGCGTTGTGTTACGAGACATTGGATGATAACAAATATCAGATTAATAATAATAATAATAGGCATTTCTATAGCGCCATCTATCTAGATAATTCTATTCCGAGGCACTAGTAAAATAAAATCTTGCCAAAGATTCTAGTAGAAAAATAATGATCAAAAGAAAGATTATAAGAATAGTTAAGCTAGTGGTACCAGATCATGTACACTATTGGAGGTCAGGCTTTTTTCATTCAATGTGATTCTAAGCAAGTTGTCCTTCGACCATTTATGTTTACGACTGGAAATGATGTATTAACTTTAGTGATATGTTTTTACAATTTTTAGACCGTAAATCTAGTTATTTTCTATTTCGTATTGTCGTCTATTATTGTAACTTCGATAAATCATCTTTAGACATTTTAATACCTCTGTATAATTGAAAACAATTGGCACAGGTTTTTAGAAATATCATTAATGTGAACATGAAACAAAACTAAGAACTGGAAGGAAATACAAAGTTGATAAATTAAGATATATTGAACAAATATATACAAAAGATGATGAATTATAGCCTACCTAAAGTCGTATCATAACTAAAAAGAAAGGGATTGTATCGCGTGACCTGTATGGTCATCTTTTTCCCCCTTTCTTCTATTTTTAAGATGTTCCGCATTATATGTGGAGAACGATAAACAATGAAAATTAAAGGGAGAAAATGTAATGACTTTAAATGTAAACCACCTTTCGCCATTCTCCCCCCCCCCAATTTTGACTTTTCGAGTGACTTTCGAAAACTGGTATTTTCTAAATTATTATTTGTATTCTTTTTAATTTGAACTGATATGGATTAGCGATGGGAAGCACAATCATTGATATGTGTGTCGCTGGACCTGGTTTGTGTGGCTATTCCAGTTGGCTGTACATTGTCAATTCTGGCTCTGGGCAACGTTTCACAAAACCGTTATAAGTACAAGTTCGCTGACATCCCATTGAAACAAATGGTAACTTTTGTTTTCCTCGTTTCAATATGATGTTGGCGAACTTGTACTTTACGACGGTTACGACACTGCCCACGTCATCGTTTCATAAAACCACTATAAATTCGTTGACATTGCTTTAAAGTGTGTGGCTATTCCAATAAACACAGAATAAACAGGTCTCCTTCAGGTTAAAACTTCTCACATCTCCCTGTTTCACACACTCTTTCTCTGTTCATCTATTTTCTGTAGTATGCAGCTTTGTTTTTGTCTTCTTTAGTCCTGTCATGTCTT